AAAATTAAGTGAAATTTCATTCTGGAATTTCTCCTTTATTTTGATATTAAGGCAGACTTGAAGTCTCTCTTTTTTTTTTTTGCTAGTGGTAATGAGCTTGAAATTGCCCTTTTTGAAAAGAAGAGGTGGAGGTGTTGAACCAATGGTCAAAGAGCGTATTTGGTTAACACTACACTGGCCCTCAAATCAGCCCACATGCATTCTCTCCAGTTGCTTTGGGTGAGTATCAAATGGCTGAGTGAAAGGCAAAAGTATAAGAAAATAGGTCCGGGGAAGCTGTTGATTAACTCCTTAGCATTATATATTTTCTGTGTTTACTGGATACACATCTAACCTTTCTAAGCAATTTGCTTTATATTTCAAAAAGCACCCTCTGGATATGTGAAGATTACAACTCCTAGAATCCTGCGGCTTTGGACATACAGGCTAAAATTCTCTTTAATTGCATCTTCAATATATCTGGAGCACACTAGTTTGGGGACATTTTGTATATGTCTCTATACTTGTATGTTGCATGTTTCCCAATTCTTAAACGATGTAGAAAGATTTCCCTGTGAATTATAATGAGTATTCTCTGTGTGTGAAATCTTTTTGGATTTCTGTTTTAAAATATAGCCTTCAAAACATTGCAGTTAATATTTGTTTACAAATATTTAATATTTTTTGCAATATGACTATACTTAGTGTAAAAGATTATATACTTAAAAAAAAAACAACCTACATTATGAATTAATGGATTCTTGCTTTCTGCATGTTTATTTTTCATAGTGGTGAATTGCTGAAGTGGGATTTAGCCCAACCTGGGAAGCGGAAATGGGAACTCCTGGGGACTTCATCTGAAGGACAAAACCATTCTAGAATAGTCTTCAACTTGTGTTCTTTGCAAGTAGAAGACAGACAGCTTCTTTTTTCCATTTCAATGGACAGAGATGTAAGGATCATGTGTCTTGCTTACTTATTTGTTTTAAAAAAGTCCTTCAGAATGTTTTGATTTGAAGGTTCCACAAATGTCCCTGCTAGGCTACTATCAATGTTGATCAATCTTTCCTACTGATTTTAGGAATGTGTGACATTTATTCTTCTATTTTTCTCCATATCATTGCTGATAACTGATCTGTCTACAGAGAAAAATGATCAAATATTTGTGAGGGATTTTTGCAAGTTTGGTGGCATTTCCATTTGAATTACTATCATAAATCTGTTTTTTCTTTGGTGCATTACAATTCATTTTGATTCCTTTTCACGGTTTTTGGAACTGGACTTCACTTTATTTTGGTCTTCAACATTTAATATCTTAGCTCTCATGCAGAAGAATACATTGAATCAAATAGCACATTAGCTTTTTAAACCTTGAATCTAGTCTTCTGCCTGGTATTTGTAGAATTTGTAGAATTCTAGTGTATTTATCCCTAGAATATCAGGAGGAATCTAACTTTTAGAACAGACCAGTGCTTCCATTCAGAAATTATTTGGAAAATCTTCATAATTTTCCTATTGAACTTTTCTGTGGCTTTTGACTTGGTGAATTTTTACTGAAGGTCCATTTATTTATTTTTCTTTGTAGGTGAAGTGTTGGGATCTGGCAACTTCAAATTGCTGTTGGACTATGCCTTCTCTTGGGGGGTTTGTTTACAGCCTGGCCTTTTCACCTGTAGATACAGGCTGCCTTGCTATTGGAGTTGGGGACAGCATGCTTCGAGTGTGGAACACCATGTCAATTAATAATCATTATGATGTGAAAACTTTCTGGCAGGGCATTAAATCCAAAGTCACAGCTGTAAGTATAGTTCTGCTCCTGTTTTCAGTATAAATTTTATTTTCTCACTGAAAACAATGGTTTCCTACACTGGATATTACTTACGTTTTATGTACTATGAGTGCTAATTATATACATATTTATTAAAATGTCAGAAATAATAAATTTATTTAAAATAATTTCATTTTAAGGATATTATTTTAACGTATTAATAATAAAGCTTGCTGTTTTCATTATACTAATTAAAATCACTGTTTATGTCATGGCCATTAGATAAGAAAACAATTCTCAGCATAATTTGAGCACAGATGTTAAGATAATGAAAAAACAAAATCTGCTTTTAACAGCAACACTAGAAAGTGGTATTTAATAAATAATGTAATGAACTGCTATAATTAACTTTGATCATGAATCGTTAAGTTTAATAACTTCATTCTTTTACTGGTACCACGCTCTAAAAATACCACTATGGTACCACGCTCTAAAAATACTACACCTGCAAATCTATCTAAAGATAATGTAGTTCTAATTATTTTAAATTGTCAGAATACTTCATGTAATGCTTTATTTATTAGTTTGTTTGCTTACTTAAAAGTAGCTTCAATCACAGAGAGCATCCTGCACCGTTAGTTTTCTATTTATGGTGCTTTCTGCAAGCGAACAAGGCGAACGGAGAATGCTAACAAATGTCCTTTAGTATATATTATATGTTCTGCTGGTGTAGATATACTTTTAGTATATTTATATATCAGTTGTGTTAATGTCACACAGTGCAGCTGGAATATAATTTGCATTGATCCACAATTCTGACAGTAGTGTTGAAATCTTAAATTTCTGTTTGCAGCTGGCTTGGCATCCAACAAAGGAAGGCTGCTTAGCTTTTGGAACAGATGATGGAAAAGTTGGAATTTATGATACCTACTCTAACAAGTAAGATATAACTATATTTGTTCATTAGTAGTTACTTATGTATATAATGATGAACCATGATTAACTTTGATTATAATTTTTTTTTGAATGATCAATATATGGCTGGTTCACTATTCAGTAAACCATCACAGATGACAATAGGTGATAAGCCAAAACTGCCCAGATTTTGGCATAGTATGCACTCAAAAGTATCAAAATATATGAAGATACCTTTTATTGCAAGAGTCTTGGACCGTGTCAGCCTAATTCCATATGTTATTAGGGATAGAGACTTGATAGAACCATAGAATTAACATTTTAGTTTTTAATTTACTTACTTTATTTAAACCAAATCCAAGTTTATTCTAAGAAAATTTTCTGAAAGAACTTCTTCAGACCATGTTCCAATTCAAAATCTTCCAGAAACCCAGTTCTTTCTTAGTTCTCGTCATAATTTGTTCTGTTGCATCACAGAGTTAGTATTACTCTTTAATTATAATGCATTTATTTGTTCATTCTTATCCTTCACAGAAGTCACAGAAGAGGGCAGAATTTTATCAAGAGGGGGTCATTAATATTGTTACTGTTTCTTATATTGAGAAAATACAAAGGAAATTGATGCTATTCTTCTGTGCTCAACCAGTCATACTTTTAAGGAGTGCAGTAGGATTGTGGAAAATGTTGCTGTTCTAGCTTAAAGGAATTGTTGGACTTTTCCTCATTTCTATTGATATTTTAAATAATGCTGAAGGAGGTTACTTCAGATATTGTCATGTGTTTCTTTAAAAATGCCAGTGTTTTGGTTTGTTTGTTTTGTATTTTATCTTTTTTATGATAAAACAATAAATAAAATAAAAAATGATGCCAATTTTGGATATTTTTTCCTATAAGGCCTCCACAAGTCTCCAGCACATATCATAAGAAAACTGTGTATACTTTAGTTTGGGGACCTCCAGTTCCTCCACTGTCTTTACGTAAGTCATATAAATTTGTTTATAGTTTTGCATTGACTTTTTTACTTGGTCCACATGTTGTGATAATGCTCTAGAAATAGCATTATCTTCTCCCCCACCCATGGTGGACATGTTCAAACTTTATTAAGATCTTCCCAAGTTTTGAAACTGCTTCATAATATAATCATAAACATTAGGAATACTCAAATTGACCATTGCACTTTGCAGTAATTTGATTATTTAAATCATCAGCTATTTTGCATGATAGTGCTTTGATCCAGTAAAGTGTGATGTAATTATTATATTAAAAGAGATATTTGAAATAACAAGTTTTAGATTTTTATACTGATTGCATAAAAATATACATGTATAAGAAATAATTGTTTTCTTATTTATTTTAGGGGGAGATGGTGATAGACCTTCCATAACCTTGTATAGTTGCGCGGGAGAAGGGGTTGTTTTCCAACATAATCCTTGGAATCTAAATGGAGAAGCCCATGATATCAACAAACTCATTCGGGAAACAAATTCAATCAAAGTGAGTAAGAATTTTGACCTAGGAATGAAAAGTGCTTGTTATTTCTCCATCTGTATTATATTTCAAGTAGAAAAAAGTAACGTCTGATTTCAGAATAACTTTCGGTACACTGGCATAGAATGCTCAGTTTTGTGTGAACTGGGCTGTTGGCAATTCACCATCTGTAACAAAATAGAAAGAAGTTAGACTGAGATTAAAAATCTTAAGACAGGTAGAGGGCCTAGTAAGGAAGAGGGCCTGGTACAGATCGTTAAGAAGCTGTGGGGCATGAAACTCACTCAAAGTGAATAGCAAAAAGTTCAGAACGGAACTTGATTAAAGAAGGGTAATAGCTCATGTTCAAGATTACAGTGAGGCTGTGATGACCCAGAGTATATCAGAAATATAACAAAAACCAAAACATAACTAAAAGTCCTTTAATGCCTTCAACTTGGCTTCACTGTTTAATTGTTCACAGTGGAGGAGTAAACTATTTTCAAAATAAAATTTCAAAGGAAAGAAACACAGTTCAAATTCAAAGAGCTGATAACGAAGCAAAAAACCAAAAACAAACCACACTGAATAAAGTTTCACAACAGACCAGGATAGATAATTGCCAACTTCAGGAAGATAGCCAGGTACAGTCCATTGGAAGAACACCAACCAAGATAAACCTTCTTTAGGAATAAAACACTAATTTGTCTCCAGCGTCTGTTAGCACACAGGTCCAACCTTTTATGCAGATCTCACACCTGCAACCCATGAAGAGGGTCATGGCCCTCTCCTCCCGAGTAGACCATGTTTTAGGGGATGGGCCTGGGTCGTCCTCTGACTGCTCAGCTTGCCTCTGCCCTTCCCCAGCCTCCTCCACCACCTCTGGAGCCACACTTCCACTCCCTGTTGGCTGTT